TGGAACTTGGGTCCAACATAGAATATTTTGTCATCCTGCCCATACAGAAACTTGCTGTCTTCAGCAAAGTTGTTCAGGTGATCAAGTCCATTTGGATAATGGCCATATTAGTTCAGACCTCTCTCACTACGCAGCGCTAGTGTGCACATGAGATTCCTGAATAAGCTGCATCTCAAAATCCTTGCCATAAAGAAGGTTACTGTCTTCAGCAAAGTTGTTCAAATGATCATGGCCTTTTTGATGGTGGTCATATTATTTCAGAACTCTCTCACAATGCGGCACTTCCACAGTTATTAATTGAGAGCTTTCGATGCCTATACCATTTTTGCATTGGTATAATTGTGTGGCAAGTCCAATCATACTTCTATGCCCAGGGAAGTCGTGAAATTTTCCAACCCAAAAAATTCCTAGACCGGACCGGGAATTGAACCCAGCCACCTCCAGCATGGTCTTGCTTTGTAGCTGCGCCTTTACCGACTGAGCTAAGGGAAGCCCCATGTAGAGACTGGAAATCGATGCCAGACGCCATTTTGGAACCCAAGATGGCGCTCAACGCTTCAAGAAAAACGTTCAAATACCCTACAATATAGGTATTTCCGTAAAGTGGACGACGTGTAGAGACCAAAAAACGATGCCAGACGCCATTTACAAATGGATTCTCCAATATTCCTATTAAGATTTATCTCCTCAATTCCTCATGGGATTCATCGGAATTCATTGTTATGTTTTTCATCTCCTGTTACCATTCTATAGTATTTCGATTTGGATTCTTTAGAATCTTCCTTAGAGTTACTTGGATTTTCTGTCTTTTTGTTATTGACACTTGGAATACTCTAGAATTCCGTTTGATTTTCTACAGCATCGCACTTGGCTATCCCTCTTAGAATTCCCTATAATTTTTCTTTCTCCAGACTAACTCTGATGATTCACCGAACGTCTTCTGGGATTAATTGGTTGGTTCTGAATAATGATATTTAGCAGTCCCTCTCGGAATCCTCCAGAATTAATTTCTAGAATTATTCTTGAAATACTGGACATAGAAAAATAATACACCGTAATGTTGACATTTTTTTACTCATGCAGACTTCGGTTCTGATCACCTTCCAGTAGCTTTTGAAATAACCCAAGAAATAATTTGTAATCCCATCAGCTCTACTTTCAATTACCATAGAGCTGATTGGGAGCAATATCAAACATTTATGGAGCATAACTTCAATCCAAATATTCCTTTGCAAACCAAAGATGAAATTAATTATGCTTTGGAATCTGCGACTCCTTCTATAGTTGAAGCAAGAGCTGCTTCAGTACCAACATGCGAATTCAATTTAATTATTATAGACGACTAGACTACCATGAAATTTATCTGGCGGGATTTGCAAAAACAAATTAAAAATCGATTTTCTGTCCTGAGGAATAAAACTTTTGTTTCGAAATTAGACCCCAGTTCCAAACCCTTTTGAAAGCTCACAAAAATTTTGCAAAAACCTCAAAACCCTATTTCAGTGCTTAAAGAAGGTGTTAAAATTTTGATCAGAAATTAGGAAAAAAAAAAGCTCAGAAACTTGCTAAGAAATTCGAGAGTTCCCAAAATTTCACAAAATATGAAAACTTCAGGTGATGATGAAATTTTCTATATCCTCAATCTGCCCAAAGGGAAAAGTTTGATAATTCCTTCGAACCCGCGACGAACAATTCGTTGCGTATTTGTTTCTTAAAATCTAAGGAATAGTATAGAGTGAAAACCATTTTCAAATTCGTTAATTGAAATCCGAAATAGACCCAAATAATATTTTTCCATTACTAAGTGGGCCATGCCTTAGAATGATGCTTCACATCGATACGCACTCTTTTTTTGCAGATGAGCAGTTTGGATTTCGCCATGGGCATTCAACTACTCATCAACTCTTAGGAGTTACCAATTTAATTCGTTCAAACAAATCTGGAGGCTACTCAACTGGAGTTGCTCTTCTAGACACAGAAAAAGCACACGACAGTGTTTGGTATGAAGGTTTGATTGCTAAATTGAAAAGCTTAGAACTCTGCAGGTAAATTATCAAAATTCCAAATCTGAACGACTACCTGTTAGACTAGGAGTTCCTCATGGTAGCATTCTTGGGCCTATATTGTATAACATTTTCAATTCGGACCTCCCTGATTTGCCTCAGAGTTGCCACAAATCTTTGTTCACTGATGAATCCGTCCAGAAGTATGCAGTGGAAATAGCTTTCACTTGGACGAACTTCTCGTAGATGTGACTTAGCAAAAGAGCACCTGACAGCTCGAGACGGGGTATGGTCATTTTCTTCTTCTTCTGCTCAGTATTCTCCAGTGGGGCTACTCGTGACTTTGAGGTGATCAATCGAACTGTGATGGTTCCATCTGAGGCAACGCAACGGAGATATAGGCATGCTCCGTATGCTAATGAGGAGGCATCGCTGAATCCGTGCAGCTGTACGGAAATGCAGTCATTGCATTGCGAGGTATGGTTAGGGTTTCAAGCGCTACCAGATTTTGCTTGTATTCCTTCCATATTTCTTGAATCGAACCATCTAAAGGGTCATCCCAGCCGCAGTTGAGTTTCCAGAGATTCTGCATGAAGATTTTTGCCTGCACTACTATCGGTCCGACCAACCCTAGCGGATCGAATAGGCATGCCGCATCGGAGTGAATGCTTCGTTTTGTTATTGGTGAGGAATCCGACTTCCAGTTGGAAAAAATGAAGTGGAATTCATCGGACCTTATGTTCCACCGTAGCCCCAGCGTCTTCACTATAGCATTTGATGCATCAAACTCTAGGTCGGAACGCTCATCTCGAAGTTGCTTTGGAATCCTCTGGAGTAGCTCTGGAGTCTGAGTTCGAGTTCCATTTTCGTAGAATGAACCCTGCTGAATTCGTGACTTCCGTAACCTGCTTCACTAATTCCATTGCTTCCTCGATACTATCCGCTCCCGAAAGCATGTCGTCGACATAGAAGTCATGTTGAATGACCTCAGACGCAGCAGGGTGAGTCGTTGCACAATCCTCGCCAAGCCTTTTCAAGCATCTTGTCGCTAAGTATGGTGCACTAGCTGTTCCGTAACCACCATGATTGACTGACCTTTCGAATCACGCCATACAATTTTGTGAAGAGGGTGATCCTGCAGCTGTGTGAGTACCATCCTGTACATTTTTGCTACGTCCGCGACGGCAGCAATTCGACGCAAACGGAACCGTTCCAAGATTGCTAGCAGCGGATCCTGTACAACTGGCCCCACCATTAGCGCGTCGTTCAGTGAGACCCCAGTTGAAGTACGACACGACGCGTCGAACACAACACGAAGCTTAGTGGTCGTGCTGTCCGATCGCAATACTGCGTGGTGCGGTAGATAATATACTGGACCTTTATCGTGACTCTCCTCTGTTACTTGCTTCATATGTTCCATCAGGAGGTACTCATGAATGAACTTAGTGTACATTTCTTTTATTTCTGGATTACTGTCCAGCCGCCTCTCGAGACTCAGGAACCTCTTCATGGCAATATTTTTCGATTCCCCCAATCCCTCCATTATGTGCTCCTTCCTTGGTAGTGCAACGACGAATCTGCCTTCTTCGTTCCGAGTCGTCGTTTTGTTGAAAAACTCCTCACACGCTGTTTCTTCAACCGAATTTGTGCTGTTGACATGGCATGTCTAACGAATGTTGATGTCCTTGGAATGGTTGCTGGAACTTCTGGTACCTTTCCGGACACGATCCAACCGAAAACAGTTTCTTGCATAGTGGGACCGTCGGCCGAAAGCTTCCTCCTTCCCGCAGTGAGCAGATCGAAATAGAATTCTGCTCCAATAATCATGTCAACGGGACCAGGCTCTCCAAAGGTTGGATCAGCTAACACGATATCCGTTGGTAATTTCACTCGGCTTACTTCCACGGGGCTAATCGGCAGTATTCGGGTAATCTTCGGCAATACATGGAATATCATATCCTCTTCGAATGTCGAAATTGTTGCTAATCGTGGTTGGACTTCCACGGACTTCGTCGATGTTACGCTTCCATTGCCAATTCCTTGTACTTTCAGAAACGCTGGAGTTTCACGTAACTTCAGCTTCTTCGAGAAATTGATCGTCACGTAGCAAAACTCTGAACATGAGTCCAGTAGCGTTCGTGCGTACGAAATATTCCCGAACTGATCTTGCACGCGAACAATCGCGGTTGACATTAGCACTAGTGGAAGAGATTGCGTTTTGTCTGATTGCTTCACAGCTTTCAGAGTAATAGTGGCGTGTGGGTCTGTGGTGAGTGGTGGTTGATTGTGATGAGAGCATGATTGAATTACGGGATATGAATTTATGGTTTGTGTGGCTGGTGGAGTGGATGCTGTTTGTGTCTGACTTTGTGGTGTTGCTTGGCTTGATTGCGATTATTGCTGCCCGGCTGCTTGGGATCGATCTTGCGTTTGTGGAACGGAGGATCTCGAAAACCGGGAATTCATCGACGCGTTGTCGAAATGAAGCATCGTGTGATGCTTCCTGCCACACTTACTACATGAACCTTTGGAGCATCCTTCGGCAAAATGCCCAGAAGACAGACAGTTACGGCATAATCGCTTTCTGGTTGCCTCCTCCACACGTTGGTTGACCGATAGGACCTTGAATTTATTGCACTTGAAGGGAAGATGGTAAGATTCTCCACAAAACAAGCACTTTCTAGATGATTGCGACGACGTGTGTGTCACAGAGATGCGTGGACGCCTCGATTCTCCTTCATTCAACTTGATAAGTGCAATCGACTGCAACACGAGGCAATGATCCCTTAGGAATTCGATCAGTTGGTCGAAATTCGGAACATCTTTGGAGTTGTGGTGCGACTCGCACAATCGAAGGGTAGCAAAATCCAAACGAGCACACAACATGTATGCCAATATCGTCGACCAGTTTTGTGTGTCCTCACCGATTTTGTTTAGCATTTGCAAATTCTTATCGAACTCGTTGATCAGGCGGTTTAGGGCGTCACAATTCTCTCGTCACATGGGCTCTACAGCAAAGATTGCATCCAGGTGGGCTTTGACAATGAGCTTCTTATTCTCATACTTCTTCTCCAGTATTTTCCATGCCACCTCGTAGTTTTCAGCAGATAGGTCTATCGAGCTAACTTCCTGCAAGGCTTCACCGGACACCGAAGAGCGTAGGTAGGTGATTTTGTCGATGGCAGTCAATTGATGGTTGTGGTGAATTAGACTGCGGAACGTATCTCTGAAAGTGACCCAGTCCTTGATATTTCCGCTAAAGGATGGTAGCTTGATGTCAGGAAGCTTCACTCGGGACATCGCAGAATCTGCAGGAGTTTTTTTTACTGAACCAGACGATCTGGATGACTCAGCTATTGGTGGCCTCAGAGCAATTAGAGCTGCCTTTACTTCGTAGTACTGCTCCTCTACGACACGAATCGCTTCATCGTACTGGTCTTCTCGTGTAGCGGCTAGGGCTTCCAAACGTTTCTTGCGTTGTTCGGTGGACCCCTTCGCATATTCCTTTTCATCTTCATCCTCTTCATCCTCTTCAGCTATGGCAATTTCAATCTTCCGGCGTACACTGTAGAATTTCCGCATAGCATTCTCCAACGTCTCCAGACGAACTTCGATCTGATTCTCCTGGGTTTGCCTCTGGAACTCAGCAACGAACTTGGAAATAGCCTTGATAGAGTTCTTCAGATGTCTTTCTTGTTTCCGCAATTCGGTGAGGCTAAATGGTTCCATTTTTAAGCACCAAAACACTTCTCACAATTCAAAATATATAACTTTAATGTACTGCTACACTCTTTGCACAAAGTTCAAAGTTCGAGTGTCAATAATCAGCACAATCACTGGAGTTCGTACAACAACTTCCTTCAGTTGTTTAAATTAATCAGCAGTACAATAAATTGATTTTATGGATCATTGATCAATCACTATTAGTCACTCACTTTTACTGCTGGAGGATTGCGCTCTGCTAGCTGACTTAATCACTCAACGTTCCACTAAAAAACGCTACCCGTATTGACCGAAATCGAGACCAGTGACAGCCGATAAGGAGGACTAGCAGCGGATATGCAACCAAGAAAGCCAACAAAGCCAGATAATCCAAATACAGGGAAACCAGACCACAATCCCGGACAAAATGCTCATGCATTTCAATTCAATGATTTAGTGAAGCTCTTTGTATTTATCCCACAATAATCACCAAAATGGAGACGCCACATGCAAAACGCCACCGCAGACATGCAATCCTTTACTTCCCTGCTAAGCCATGCTTTCCACTTTCTTATGGACTGGTCTGCATGCAGAATTCACCCATCAGCAATCCCTTCAGGCTTCCACAATTCCACAGTCAAATCACTATCGTGGATCACGATCTTCACTGGTCAGCATCAACAATGATGAATCGATGAAACAATGACAACACAATGCCACCGAAATCTGCTTCGACAACGCCAACCCTTTGAGTGAACTTTTTCCACCAAAGATCACACGCGAGTACTTCACTTTCCGCACAACTATACTGTCCAATGTCCACCGGTTTATTATCCGGCTCGAAGGACCATGTTCTGGATCGGACTTACGAGTGGACTGTAGGGCTCTATCCGTCCAGACCTCACTATGTACTTGAGGTCACCGACCTCCACTTGACCTTCTTCAAATCTCGGTCACTGGAATCACTGGGTTTATTCCGCAACCGTATGAAGGGTAAACCTAACACCGTACTTGTTCGTTGTGTGGTAAGATTGAAACTAATTTATTATCTCTTATCGGACCTAGCTATCCTGTAGATCGCGTACGATCGGGTGGGTGAGAGAGAGTGAGCAATGAGAGAACCTCATCTAAACTGTTCTACTGCGATCGTGACATGGGGTACTCTATCGATTTTACGTAAACACCTCAATTGCAACGATTAATTCCCTTTATTCTTAGATAAGATTTAGTTTTAAGATGTAAATTGTTATTCTGACATGCAGGTTCAAAAAACCTGTTTAAAATACTGAATTTCCAAGACAGGAACAATGTAAAAACACTTAGATATATATCATAACAATTAAGGCTGGTAAGTTACTGTAGTAGCTGGTAAAAATGAAATGTAATATATATATTTTTTTTTTTTTTTTTTTTTTCCTTTGATTTGTTTTCCGTCGATCTTGTTTTCCGTGCTGAGCACCAATGCTACCGACGCCAGAGAGGCAGCTCCCACACCTGGACCCTACCTACCTATCGACCCATCAACTCATGAACCGGGGACCAACGGCTTTACTTCCCTTCCGAAGGAAGGCGTGATCAGAGATGTTATGCCTCAGAACATCCCGGCGGCGCCGACTGGGATTGAACCCAGGCCTGCTGGGGTGAGAGGTAATCACGCTTACCACTACACCACCGGCGCCGCTCAATGTAATATATTTTGAATTTGGGACAAATAAAAAGTTACAAATTGTTCACTTATTTAATTTCAAATTTGGTATGAAAATCTCACGTTCTTAGCACCGTAACCCGAGGGAAAATTGATCACCAGGGCAAGATTGATCCTTATGGGTTGCGTTCTTAGTTGTCACGTAGAAACTTTTCGGTGATAGATATCACGAGAAATCTTGATATCATTTCATCATGAGTTTTTCATAACAAAAAAGTAGATTGCACAGTTCGAAAAGTAGTGTAAATTTCTGTTCAATATGATTCACATTATTGGAGCGTCATATATCATATAAGTTTACATTATATTACATGTAAAGTTCTAGCACATTTCATGCAATGTAGCAAATATTGTATACAAAAGCCCATCTTTGTAAACAACATTGTTTACAAGTTGCTCGGTTACGTGAAATTAAATTTAAGTTTACGTGAATGAATGTTTACATCACAATTAAAATTCAGAATTTTTATCTGTGTGTACAATAGGTTACAACAACTCGAATAGCGGTATGATGTGATATGAAGGGCTCGGTAGCCTTAGAGCGACCGTTTTTGCGTACTGAGCAGAACATTGTGAGACTAATGTCAGACCCATCCACATTCAAGATTTGCCAATCGCTTTATTTGTTGATATTCCTACATGATAATAACAGCAACTCGATGACTAAAACGAAGCTCGTTTGCCTTGTGGCAAACGTTTTTGCTTACTTTTTTTTAATTCTTTATTAACCGTTATGTGATCGACAAAAAAAACACCTTAAAGTGCTCGACAAGGGTACCCGGGTACCCACAAATTGAAATACTTGCTACTGTGGCCTATTGTGACCGATTCTAAATCTTTTGGTACCAATGGATTCATAAACTTATCTTCTTTCTGGACATTGCCAACAATGTCCATCCGGAATAGTCTGGTTCCCGGAAATCCGGATTTTCTGTATAATGTTCCAGAACTAAGCATTTTCTTGGCACTTTCGCTAGAATTTTGAAGGAATCGATATCAAAGTATCAGAATTTCCTTCAAAAACAATTTCAGCTTACTTGAGGACCAGTTTAAGGTTTCTCCCCGAAACGGCCATTCCGGCGCAGGTTCCCGTAGGACCTCTAGTGGCCATAGAAGTGTTTTTGAAGAAACCCCTGCAATATGGGTATTCAAATTCAAGAATTTACAGCAGGAGACTGTTTATCATAATTTTGTGGTCATCCGATGGATTGACCCCGGAACGGCCATTCCGGAGCAGGTTCCCGGAGGGCTTCTAGTGGCCATAGAAGTGTTTAGGAAGAAACCCCTGCAATATGGGTATCAAAATTCATGGATTTACAGCAGGAGACTGTTTATCATAATTTTGTGATCATCCGATGGATGGTCCCCGGGACGGCCATTCCGGAGTAGGTTCCCGTAGGGCCTCTAGTGGCCATAGAAGTGTTTGGGAAGAAACCCCTGTAATATGGGTATGGGAAATTCATGAATTTCCAGCAGGAGACTGTTTATCATAATTGTGTGATCATCCGATGGATTGTCCCCACAACGGCCATTCCGGTGCAGGTTCCTGCAGGGCCTCCAGTGCCCATAGAAGTGTTTGAGAAGAAACCTCTGTAATATGGGTATCAAAATTCATGAATTTCTAGCAGGAAACTGTTTATCATAATTTTGTGATGATCCGATGGATTTACCCCAGAACGGCCACGGATGTTCCTACAATATGGGTATCAAAATTCATGAATTTTCAGCAGTAGACTATTCATCATATTTTCGTGGCTATCTGACAGATTGTCCTCGGAATGGGCTTGGATAGAATGCTCTTTATTTTTTGAAATTTAAAAAAAGAAACTTTTCTCATTATTTTTTTGTATCTGACTAAATGTCCATGGAATGGCCATTTTTAGAACAAGTGAATAATCGAGTTGTGGTGAAAAATTCAGGATGAAAAATCATGCAATTTTTATTTTCTTCAGTTTTCCTGGTGTTCAATCTCTCTAGGGGTATAAACGTTGTGGATTAATGTTGTATGGAGTTTTTGCAGTCTCTGCTGTGCTAGAAATAAACTGAAATTTCTATGGACTTTTAATCCTCATAAAAAATTGTTAAAAAATTACAAGCACATAAAAAGCAAACGAAAAAAAAATTAGCAGTTATCGCAAATTTCTTGGCAGTGCTGATTGCAAACAGATTTTCAGCATGACTTCACATCTTCCTGGTCTTCCTACACTTGATGTCTTCACTTTTGCAGATATGATAGATGCCAACTTGTGGCTCCCGTCCGGACTTATCTCGTTCAACTGGAGTAGAACCAACAACAGGCTGGCCAGTAAATTTTAGTTTTGAAATTCCCGGTTTTTTCCCGGTTTTCCCGGTTCAAATCTTTAAAAATTCCTGGTTGTTATTATTCAACAAAAAAAAACGAAATTGAACGCATTTTTAAGAGCGTGCTGAAAGGAATTTACTGAAGGGATAAATGTGATTTAAAAACATTCCCAAGATTGTGGGCTTTTAAATTTGTGTAGAGCTTTATTCAAAATCTGTGATTAATAAAAACCTTCGTGATGCAAGATTTGGAGAAAAAATAATTAAAATGTGAGAGTTTGAAATATAAAAAAAGAATATCATACTTATGAGTCGTGGAGTCATAATTGTCACGCTAAGGACATTTAAAGGGTTATAACAAATTACAGAACAATCTATAGAATCTAGTGGGAAAACCCTGGAGTTTTTAGTAAAATTTAAAAGATTTCAAAGAGTTTTTTGGAACAAATATTGAGAAGGATTCCCACACAGCTTTCGAATGAGAAGTTCTGAGCAGAATGCCAGAATTATTCTGACATGAAATCCTTAGAAATTTTTAGATGAATTTGGAGGGATTTCTGTGCAGAAGAATGCAAGTTCTAAATTAAATTCTTGGGTAATTTTAGAAGATTTAAAAAGGAGTTGTGAAAAACAAAACTTTGCGGAAAATTCATACGTGATTCTGATGAGATTTTTATGGGGATTGTGAGGAAAATGACAGATGAATTTTAAGAAGTACTCCAAGAGAATTATGATCAGAATTTAACAAGAAACAGAGTTCTAAGAGTGTTCTGGCAATAATTTCAACCCTAGTGCGAAAGACCACAGAACTCCAACAAAATTTATTGCAAAAAAATTGTTGATAATTAGAAAAAAATTCTTTAAAATACTCCCAAGGGTTTCTTAATAAAATTAAGAAATATTTCTGTTATTTTGAATAGAGTTGAAAGATTTTCAAAGGAATCAAAATCTCCAGATAGGCTCAAAAGAATAGGCCTTTTTAATGCACTACCTAGAGTCGGTGTATAATGAGTCACATCAA